AAAAAGGGGGTCAGAGAGATGACTCAGAGGTTAAGAGCACTGGCTGCTCTTCCAGAGGTCCTGAGTTCAATTCCCAGCCACCACATGGTGGCTCACAACCTCGGGTGCCCTCTCCTGGCCTGCAGGTATACATGGAGACAGGACACTGTATACATAATAAATAATTAAACAAACAAACAAATGAATCTTGTTTAAAAATAACAAGAAAATGACTCCTAATAGTTTTCTTCTATACTCTATAATATACTTCTATACTATAGATAAGTCCCTTATTCATCCGTATCAGAGCGGCTTTCTCCTGCGACAGAGAGGGAGAGAGAGAGAGAGAGAGAGAGAGAGAGAGAGAGAGAGAGAGAGAGAGAGAGAGAGAGAGAGAGAGAGAGATTGAGAGAGAGAGAGATTGAGAGAGAGAGAGAGAGAGAGAGAGAGAGAGAGAGAGAGAGAGAGAGAGAGAGAGAGAGAGAGTCGGGAAATGCTGACAGAAGCAGGGGAGACAGAGGAGACAGAATACACCACTGAGCAAAGCAATCAGTGCATCTGTCGACGTGTCTGCAATGGGTCCTCCGCATACATACTTTAGCTTTTGGTTTAGACTTTTGTGGGACTCCTGAATGTCCAGATGAGTAGATCATTGGTTCTTGTGACTTCTCTTGGGCTTCTTTTATTTTTGTCTTCACTTCCCTTGTCCAACTTGGCTTTTGTTTTATTTTATTTTGTTGTTAAGTCTTAGAAGACTGTTCTAATATAAAAGGAGACAGAATAGGAGGGGATCTGAATGGGAAGGGAGGTTAGGAGGAACTGGAAGTAGTAGAGGGAGGAGAAACTATTCAGATTATATTGTATGAGAAAAGAATCTTAGGTTTAATTAAAGGTGTAGGGGGCAGGGGGACCATTAGGAGAGGGCGTCTTTTGCACAAGGCACCTTGTCATTAGTATCATTTCTGGAAAAAAAATGTGTTTAGCAACCCAAAATACTTATAGTTTAATTTACTAATACCCTAGTGAGAACAGAGAAGTTATAACATATAGTTTAAAGAATAATGAGTTGTCATCAGGGATACTCTATCCAGTAACTGATGGAAGCAGATGCAGAGATCCACAGACAAGCACTGGGCTGAGCTTTGGGAGTCTTGGTAAAGGGAGGAGGGTTTGTATGAGCCACGGGGGTCATAACGGGGGGAACCCACAGAGGCAGCTGAGCTTGTGTGAGCTCATGAACTCTGGACTGAAAGTTCGGGAGCCTGCATGGGACTGAGCTAGGCCCTTTGCACGTGTGTGACAGTTGTGCGGCTTGGTCTCTTTGTAAGGCTCCTAGTAGTGAAATCAGGACCTGGAGCTTAGCTGACTTTTGGGAACCTGTTCCCCATACTGGATTACCTCGTCCAACCTTGACACAAGGAGAGAAGCTTGGTCCTGCCTCAACTTGATGTGTCACGCTTCCCTCAAGCCCATGGGAGGCCTGCCCCTCTCTGAATGGAGATGGAGGAGTGAAAGGGATAGGGGACAGAGTGGAAGGGGGGAAACGGGACACAGTATGGGGCACAGGAGGTGGGGGGGTAGGGGAAGCTATGGTTTCTATGTAAAATAAAAGAAAAAATGTTATTTAAATAAAAACAAATATTGAAGTAGGATAATAGTAGAATTTGGGGGTATTTGGAGTAATTCTTTATCTGTGCCAGAAAAAGATAAAAGAACAATTTAAGTATATGAAAAATACACAAAATACAAAAAGGACCTAACTAACATAAATGCTAGATTTTTAAAATGTTTAAAGTGAAATCTTTTCATTTTTAGATGTCATGTAAGACAATCATCTCCTTGAGTTCTCAACTCCTCCATCTCCCAAACGCTGCTGGTAGGCAGCAGATGGTTAGTTAACCAATGCAGGGAACACAGCTGGTAAGATCTGTTCTGCCCCCATCCTTAGCATTGTCCAACCTACAGATTTGGAAATTTTACTGAAAGACAAATAGAAAAAAATGCTAAAGCTGAATTATATCTACTTTTTAATGATGGTTGTAGTAGCTTTAAATGAATTTGATACTATAAATTATATTCTATTATACTAAAAGAACTTAGTGAATTTATTAACATAAACCTTTGGATCAAGATAATTTGGTTGAGTTACCACATGGAAGAACATGTTTATTTTGTTCCCTGCTTAGCGGTGGTTATCAGTATTTATTAGAAGTTTGACAGTGTCCCTGAGAACACTCTCAATTCTATTTACATAGACTGACACCCTACTAAGCTTAGGTCACAGGGATCTCACTACAGGGCAGAATGGCAATCACACCACTTAACAAGTTAAGAACAGCTCTGTGGAGCAGAACCTAACATTTCACAACTAAATGACTGCTCAGGGGGCCAGAACAGAACACTACTACTCATACATCTGTGTACAACTGGATGGAGCTAGTTTCTAGTCAACTTCCTTCTAGTATCCCATGGAAACACAATGTAATTTTATCTCATTTGCCCAAGACTTAATTAAGACAGAGTAGAATGTGTTCTAAAGAAAAAAAAGTCTCAAATTAATAAAGTGGAATCTTAAAGACTCGATGGGGTAGCGAAGTGCCTGGCTCATTTTAACAATTATTGCCATTTTTTCCATTATGGATGAAGTAAACCAGTATTAATGAGTAGAGCTAAAAAAATTTTTAGTGCCTCAGGAGCTTTAATGAGCCCAGTTTAGAGAACTGTCTTTGTCAATTCAAGTAATGATATTCATTTGGAGATTGTATTTTCAGGTCATGGGAATAACTACAAAACCCTGAGTGAATTAAAGGCTTCAGTGTCCCCATATATAAAAGGATCACTATAGGAAGCACCCAGCATTAAACCTGGAAAATGATGTGCACTCAAATGTTACTAAATCCCAAAGGCAAAGGCCCAGAATACACCATATTGCAGGTGAAAGGCTGCTTTGAGACTGATTACTAGCAAGGGGTTCACCTAGCATTATGAAGGAGCTGTATTCCTTATCCACTTAGTCAATTCATTCAGAGTAAGGAGGAGTGTTGACACGGTTACCCTATATTGAAATCATGTTTTCATTCCTATGTATTCTCACATTATCCACTTTGAATTTTGACAATGATCTTCTAAGGTGCTTTCAAAGAGTAAGAATTAATAAAAATGTATCTTAAGTGTTTATGGCTTTGTAAATACAATTGTGGTATTTTTAAACCCAAACTGCCAGCATGAAACTATTTAACAAAGTCATTTAATCTACAAGTAAAGCTATGTTGAACTACTTTTTAAAGTAGCACCTGGTCAACTACAAAGAAATGAAGTCTTTCCCCTCAATGTATGAAGTCCTATGTTGCCCCACTCAAGCACTTTTAATGAAAATAGCTTGCCAAGAAACATTTCAGCTCATTATCAGAACGCTATTTTCAGTTTTGCCTTGTGTCTAAATCTCAAAGCAGGAATGCAATTAAAGGTTAAAAGTGACATGAAGCTCTTTATAGTGACTCCACAATAAGTCTCATTAAGGAACATAAAAACCCTGACATCGCATAGAAACTAGAGGTTTCATATAGTTCTCATGCAGAGCAAACCCAACTTGAAGTGGGTGTGAATGTACAAAGAGCTGTGTACATCCAGGCATAATAAAAAGCAGTCATTTTGTCCTTAATCATTCACTTCTATGAAATAAAGCATTCCAGATGTTTTCACCAGTCTCAGTCACGAAAACACATTATAACAATAGCTTGGTGAAAAGATGTGTGGGTTTCATTTATAGTGTAAATATCTGGCTTAATTTTGGAGGACTAGTTTCAAGATTTACAGTACTGTGTATTTAAACAGTGTAAGGGGCTCATAGTCCCTACACTCACTTGTTACCCATCCTGCGTTACATTTATTTTATTAATAATTATAAAAGTTTACTATGCAGGCTAGGCATGATAGGACTTTCCAACCTCTCCTCACAAAGCTTTTGTTCCAGTTAACCAAAACGATTACATCGATTCTGAATGTTAAAGTGTTAACTCATGTCTGAACCCTGAAAGGGGCCCATTCCAGAACTTAGACGAACCATCCATTATCCTTTCCTTCTAAACATATCTTAATCCAAGTCATAAAATTATGTCACTCAGGCAAATACAGCCTGCCTGAAATGAAAATGGGGTTCTATTGGAAAGACAACCAAGAGTGCACTTACAAATTACCTACCCTGCTTATGCTATAACCAGAGAGAAGAGAACTGTTAAAGAACCATGGCCTTTGAAGCCTAAGTTTTACTATTTGAACCTTTACAGAAATGTTCACATTTTTACTTAAAAAAGCAAAACACTAAAAAGATGGATTTTATTTGAATTACAAGAATGTACACATTTTTCTATTCTATCCAAAGATACTATTTTGGCCCACACACGAAACTGATAGGTTTTGTGAAAGCTTAATGATTGTAACCACAGCCTCCATCACTGCTTCCGTGGAACACGTGAATAGAGTGAGACAGCAAAGCACTGCTCTGCATTTAAGTAAATCCCCACACTTAACAAAAGCTCCTTTAATGGCATATACTCCCCATTATTTTTCTAAGAATCATAAGTCCAACGGTATTTAAGATACACAGAATCTGCTTTCAGATACCGATTTCTGTGACTTTTCTGAGCATCTAAAGATTTATCCACATCATCATTCTTACTTTCCTATTAATTTTTGTTGCAATTTTAGTTTGCAAGTTTTTCACTACTCAACCAATTTATTCATCTCTCCTAGACATAAAGAGCAGTTTTTCAAACACTGTAAACTAAAGGGCAGTGTGATAACCATCTACAGATCAGGTACCCATAGAAGACAATTTACTGTCTGGTGATGTTCTAAAAAAACATGGAAAGAAATGTGTCTCTTTTATTACTATTACATGCATGTATAAGTTACAATACTACCCTAAGTTTTCTTTACAGCCCATTTTCCAAAAATATTAAACTACTAAATATAATGGTATTTTCTAAGTTTTCAAAATGATCTATCATTTAGTAGAAAAATAAATCAGGCAACTGCATTTATTAATTTAGGCAATGTTTCCCAATAAAAATGTAGAAATATTTCACTTTACGTATTACAATGTACCAACACAAAGTCAAAATCCACAATTATACACTCAAAAAATCTAAACATCATCTTCACAAGAAGCAGTTTCTGTACAGGATTTACAGACATCTAAGCACACACTGTGTCTTCAGTGTGCTACAGAGTTCAGAGGTTCTGCTCGGATGTTCCCCAAGTCCAGTGCAGAGTCTGTCTCTTCATCAATTTCTCCAATGACCGCTCTATTATCAGTGCGGGGGAAAGACAAGAGTTAAAAACATGCTGAAGTGAACCTCCATACATTTCTAAAACCCCATTAACTATAGCATTGCTTCATTCTTCCAAATGTGTGGAACTGAGAAGGCGCAGTGAGAAAATGCGGTGGGAAGCAAAAGTCATTTCAGGACTCACTGAATTAGGTCCTAACACTCAAGAAACAACGTGAAGGTGGGGCTACAAGAAGAAATATTAAAGAGATACCGCAACTGTCTGAACATCAGATCTTTGGAAAACTAGTGGCTGATCTGCTGCATTTACTTAAAGTCAAACAAAAAAGGCTGTTTCAGGAGCTCTTAGAAGGAGGCTCCAGCCACAGTAGGTTCAGTAAATGTTCAGTTGGTTTCTTGGTAACACGGGTGTGGGAAGCACCATCCAAATCAGCGAGTCCACACACTGTCACCGCAGTGTTCCATCAGTATGCTGTGCTCAGGGGACAAGGGCCCCTCTGCTCGACTCACCCTTTACAAGACACATCATAATTTCACCCAAGTCATCTCCAGAGAGCATTTTATAAATCATAAACCCAAATTTTGATTAAGGATCAATCAACCTACTTACCAAATGTAAATTTCAGATAAAGTTAAGTGAATAAAGCATATATTCATTTTAAGATAAACTTACAGGATTCACTAATGAACTAAGCTTACAGTTCACTACATTAAGCAAGTATCCCTTCAAACCACCTAAACTTGCTAGAAACTTTTGCTGTCCTGTAGTCATATTTTGACTCTTCTTAGTGTTGTAGAAACATTTAAATTTAAGTTTTAGCCACATAAGGCGATTAAGCCTATAATCCCAATACTTGGAAAGCTGAAGGAAAATGAAAGAAGTCTAGGCCATATAGCAAGTCCCAGGTCAGCCTGGGTTACACGAAGAGACTCAATTTCAAAAAAAACTCCAAATTTAAAATTTAGTTCCTTGGTCACCAACCACTTTTCAAATAGGACAGCTACAAAAGCAAGTAGATATAATACTGGAAATGTTGATACTCAAGACTTCCAACACCAGAAAAAATAGTTTGAATAGCACTGTTCAAAATGGTTGCAGCTTTTCTCAAACTGCCATGTCTAAGATTTCTCAAACTAGATCATGAATGTTCTGAATTCGATAAGACTATGGGTTTTTCATGGGACATGTTAAGTATTTAAGTTCACTAAAACAAGACAGCTAAATGAGCTTGAATTAATAGCTCAAACAAGAGATTTTCCCCTCCATATATGGTTTTATTTAAATTAGAAACATGAATGTTTCACATGTCAATCCCAGCTCCCTCTAACACCCTTCCTCCCTCATCCCTCCACCAGATCCCACAGCCCCCAACCCATCCCCACATGATTACAAATGGAGGGTGAGGCCCTCCTGGGGGGGGAATCTCCAGAGCATGGCATTTCATCTAGGGTAGGACTGAGACTCTTCCCCATGTGTCCAGGGTGAGAGAGCATCTCTATTTGGAATTGGCTCCCAAACATCATTCATACACCATAGTAAACACTGATCTACTACCCAAGGCCCCAGTGATTTCTGTGGCCTCCTCCCTGACACTACATTCACAGAGTCTGGATCAGTCCCCTGTTGGCCTCTCAGCCATCAGTTGGGATTCAAGAGCTCCTCCTTATCCGGTCAGCTGTCTTTGTGGGTTTCACCATCATGGTCTTGACCCCTTTGCTCATCACTCCTCCATCTTTGTCACTGGGCTCCAGGATTTCAGTTCAGTCAAACAAGAGATTTTTAAAGAGATTTTCCAAAATGTTAAGAAGCCTCTTAAGGAAGAATTTGGTGCAAAGCAGGGCCCTTTGCGGGCCTATCCAGGCCACTGTCCTAGTAGAAACATACCACACACACACACACACACACACACACACACACACACACACACACCAGTGGTTTAGGCTACTCAGAGGCTGCAGTAACAGGTGATGTACAGCTCAAGGTCAGTTTTAAGCAACTTTAGGAAAGCCTGGTTAGGATGTAAACAGTAAAGAGAGCTGGAGAGCACAGATCAATAGTAGACTGTTCTGTATGTGCAAGACTCTACTTTCAAAGGCCAAGTCTCAAATCTCAGTAGGCCGATGTTTGCTTTGTGGAGAGACAATTTTACCTGGTTCCTGAGGAATCTCAGCCTAAAAAGCATAAATTAACTATAAGATAAGCTATAGCTGCAAAGCAGATGAATGCACAATTCTATTATGTATAGATGACATATTAAGTTGGGAAAAATCTCTCTTCCATAATGCAAGCACACCAGTAATGAAAAAGTAACTTTACTCAAAATGACTTATTTTACTTACACCTTGTCACCTCTCACGATGTATAATCCTAACACGACTTGTTCTACTCCTTGTGAAGAGCTGAATACCCTCTGGTGGATTTCATCCAAAATCAAATTAATGGTCTGGTCAGAACCTTTTAGTGTTCCCTGAAAAACTTGCAAGAAAAAACAAACTATATTCTGGTTCTGAATATGCAAATCAAGCTTACAGCCATTTCAGCTGTACTTATGTCTTAGTGTCAGTCCACTAGCAGCACAATGTCTTCTGTGGTCCCAAAGTAGCCACAACACAGCTTACCCTTCACTTTTTCTATAATGAGGAAAACTTGTACTGCAAATCTATTATGCAGTTGCAAGCAACACCCAGGCACTATGATTTCCAAGTAAATAAACTCACATAGTTCAGGAATTAGCACTATGAAAACAAACTAAAACAGGACACATTTAGGATAAAATGTTTTTTTAACTGAATAATAAAGAGAACCACAAACCAGCTATACACAATTCACTGCTTGTTAATACTTAGTGAAAGCCACTAGCTAAAGAAACACACTGTGCAAATCAACTCCACTTTCTGTCACCCTGGAGAGTACTGTGTTTTGCCCATTTCAAATAAGGGACCTGATACTCTAGAAAATGATGGTTCAAGATTTCATGGGTAGTAACTAAAAAATTCAGTACAGATAAACAAGACTAGTTCCAGAGCCAGATTACAAAGTAATTACATTAATCTGTTGTAAACAATGCTTTTGAGAAATTAATCTATAAATATACACAAATCACATGGTAGTTACAGGTAACATTTAGTATATCCTTGTTGCCAATATTGTGCTTACCTGTATGTATTATTGAATACTCTTAATATTACAGTAG